TGGGGAGGGGCTGACTTGGGGGCCTTGGGCCCCGCTGGACCCCGCCTGGGTTTTTCTTCCCACTGAGCGGGGCTTATTGTTACAAGGAGTTGGGTTTTCTTTTCCCCCCCTCTGCGTACGAGTTGGATTTGGTGTCGGCCCCTCCCCGGGTTCGGTTCCGGGTTCCCCCGGGTACGTCGGTTCCGTCCTTCCGGAGGTTTTCGGCTTATCGCATCCAACCTGGTGTGGTGCGAGCGGCCTTTGCAGCTTACCTCCTGCGTGACCCGGATTATGCCTCGGAAATGGATCCGTCCACGTTCAGGTTTGGGACTTCGTTCCCTTTCTGGCTCCGTTACGAGGTTCCGGAGTCGTCCTGGCTAGCAGACTGCCCCTTGTTTGGTCTGGATTCCTGGCATTCCTTCTGTCGTTCCCGCACGCTGGAGTGGCGGGAAGCTTCCACGGTGCTTCAGGTTTTCCTGGGGGACGAACTTGAGTACCTGAATGAGTGCTTGTTTGCCCCTGCCCTTCCCCGCGATGTGGGCGTTATTCAGCTCTATGTGCAGGTTCCCTCCCTTTCGGCGGCGCTCGTTGCGGAGGACTTGCGCGCCCAGGGCCTTTTGTGTTCGGCCTTGCGGTTCTTTTCCCTCCTGGAGCTGTCTTCGGATTGGCTCATGGAGGATGTGGGGACGCTTGGGTCCGTCCCGGGGTCCGGCACCTTGTCCTCGGCTGCGTGTTCATCGGCTGCCTTGTTGAAGCTGTTCACTCCGATTTTGCGGGATGCGGTTTCCCTGTTTTATGTTTCCCGTCTCGCGTGTCGGCAGGCGGTGCTGGGTTCCTCCGTGGAATCTGCTTGGGCTCTGGCTCTTAGGTGTTCTTCACCTTTTTGTCCTCTCCTGTTTGGGGAGTCGGCCGTGGCGCAGTTTATTCAGGCTGCGTCGGCGGCTTGTCGTCCGATGTCGGACTTGTTGGTTTTCTGGGGGTCCCGGGGTGGGTCTTCCTGGAAAGGTCGTGCCAGGGCTCGGGGTTCCTCTCGTCGTGGTAGGCCTCTGGTGTCAGGTTTAGGGTTGGCTCCTCCTGCGGACCCTCCCTCGTCTGGTTGGCGCGGTGTTCGCGCTGTGCGGGGTTCTGGGTCTCGTAAGGGTCGCCGGCCCTTTCGCGGTTTGCCCCCTTGACGGGGCGATGGGGGGGCGGCTTGCGCTGTTCGCCCGCGCCTGGTCCCACGATTCGTGGGCCTTTCGGGTCGTGTCTCGCGGCCTGCGGTGGCGTTGGGTGGCGCCCTCCCCCCTTTGGGGGGTCGGGGCTGGCAGGGCAGGTTTCTTCCCCTGCGCTCTGTCGAGTCGTCTTGGAGTGGGTACGCTTGGGCGTCGTCGAAACGACGTCGTCCCTCAGATGGGTTTCCCGTCTGTTTCCGGTTCCGAAACGGGACTGCGCGGACCTGCGGTTCATTCTGGACTTGTCCCGTCTGAACCCCTGGGTTCATTGCCCCTCCTTTCGGATGACTTCGCTGGCTCAGGTTTGGCTCCTCTTGGAGCCGGGAGCTTGGATGGTGTCCCTGGACCTCCGGGACGCTTATTGGCATGTCCCGATTCATCCGCGGTTCAGGGACTGGCTCGGTTTTGTTGTGGGGCGTCTGAGTTACCGCTTTCGTTGTCTCCCGTTCGGGTTGAACCTGGCACCTCACGTGTTCACGCGCCTTACACGGGTTGTGGTGGCTCGTTTGCGTCTCCTAGGTGTTTGGGTGTTGGCCTACCTCGACGACTGGCTGGTTTGGGCTCCCAGCCAGTCAGCTTGCTTGCTAGCCAGGGATTTGGTTCTTTCCCAGCTCGCCGAGTTCGGGTTCTTGGTGAACTGGAGGAAGTCCCATCTGGTTCCCTCTCAAGTTCGGACTTGGCTGGGTCTTGTTTGGGACTCTCGAACCGCCTCCTTGTCTCTCCCTCCGGAGTCTCTCCTGCGGCTGCGGTCCCGCCTTCGTCTGTTTCTGGAGGGCCCTCGGGTCACCCGGCGGTTGCTCGAGGGGCTGTGCGGGAGCCTGAACTTCGCGATGGTGGTCTACCCGCCGGGTCGGGTTTGGCTTCGACGGCTCTTCTGGTTCCTTCGGGGTTCCCCCCTTCCGCCTCTCTCGCGATCGCAGAGTTCGACCCCCAGGGGCCTTGAGTCGGTTGCTGCGTCACCGGCTTCCTCTTCGGGTTTTTCGGGGTTCAGTGCCTTGGCGCCTACCCGAGCCCTCGCTCGATGTGTACACGGATGCGTCGTCTCTCGGCTGGGGTTTTGTGACCAGTGCTCACCAGGCCGGCCAGGGGCGTTGGGATCCGTCCTTCCGTCGAGCTCACAGCACGGTGCGGGAGTTCGCGGCAGTGTGGTTTGCTCTGGGGAGGATTCAGGTGGCCCACGGATCAACGATTCGGCTCCATTCGGACTGCTCTCCAGTGGTTCATTGCCTGAACCGCGGGGGTTCGATGTGGTCCTTGTCTCTTTGGGGTTGGTCGCTTCGGGTGACTCGTCTGCTGAGTTCTCGGGGTTTGGCTCTCCTGGCGGTTCACGTACGGGGCGTGTCCAACGTCTTGGCCGACGCCCTGTCTCGCTTCGTTCCCCTCTCCACGGAGTGGACGGTCGACGACGAGTCCTTCCGTTGGCTTTGCCAGACGTTCCGGCGCCCCGAAGTGGACCTCTTCGCGTCGGCGTGGTCGCGGCGTCTTCCCGTTTATACGGCGCCCTTCCCCGATCGCGAGGCCGTCGGGGTCGATGCCTTTCGGCTAGACTGGTCGAGGTGGGGGTTCCTGTACCTCTTTCCCCCGGTTCGGCTGTTGCTCCGGGTCCTGACTCGCTTAGAGACTTACCAGGGGAGAGTTGTCCTTCTGGCCCCTTGGTGGCCGGCCCAGCCTTGGTTTCAGGCGCTGGTTGCTCGGTGTCCGAACCCGAGGGTTTTCCCGCGGCTCCGCCTCTTTCAGCAGATCGGGCCGGTACGTCACGTGGCTGGTTCGATCTTCTCCTCGAGTCTTCGCGTATGGTTTTTTTGACTCGAGTCTATCATCATCTCTATGGTGATCAGGTGGCCTTCTTGTTGGTGTCCCACCTGAGGGCTTCTTCTTGGCGGCAGTATGAAGTTTCCTGGCGGTCCTTCCGTTTCTTTTTGCGTCTTCGTCGTGTTAGCTCCTTGTCTGTTCGGGTGGTCTTGTCCTTCCTCTCGTGGTTGTTTCAGGACCGTCATCTTATGCCTAACACTGTCACTTCGTATCGTGCGGCGCTGGCGGAGCCGCTTCAGCTTGCTTTCGGTATCGATGTTACGTCTGCGCCGTTTCGCAAGCTGTCTCGTGCATTGTTTCACCTCTGGCCTGCTCATGCGTCGCCTGAGCCGTCCTGGTCTTTGGATAGAGTGCTCGCTTTCCTTTCATCTCCTCGTTTCGTTGTGGCCCCTTCAGTCCAGGATTGTTTTTCCAAGGCACTTTTCTTGTTGGCTTTGGCCTCTGGGGGTCGAGTAGGGGAGCTTCATGCTCTCCTCCGGCGCAGGGGTTTCTGCTCTTTTGTTCGTGGTGATTGTTTTGTTCGTTTGCAGCCATCTCCTTCTTTTCTGGCGAAGAATGAGACTGCTGCATTCCGGAGGGGTCCGTGGGTGGTTGATGCTTGGTTGGTCAGGCCGGGGGTGCATCATGTTTTGTGTCCGGTTGCGGCGCTTCGCCGTTATTTGCGCGCCACAGCTTCTGTGTCCGGGGACGCGCTGTGGGTTGATCGGTTTCCCTTCTTCCCTGTTCGCGGGTTCGGGTCTCTCAGGTCGTCCGCAGGGTTATTAGGTCCAGTTAGCCTGTGGTCTATCCCCGTGCCCATGACGTTCGTAAGTTCGCGGCTCTTGCTGCCGTCTTTGGGAATATGTCTTGGTCTGATATTCGGGCGCGGGGATTTTGGCGGTCGAACAGGGTCCTGGCTGCTCGTTACCTTGTGAATGTCCCTGGGCCTCTTCGGGCCTGTGTTGCTTTGGGTCGGCGGTTGCAGCCAGTTGTCTCGGCTTCGAGTTGAGGAGTGAGCGACGACCGCCTCCCGGGTAAGTCCCTCTTTTTTCTGTCTGTGGGTAGTTAGCTCCGGGGAGCCGACGGGGCTTCCCCCAGAAAACCAGCGTTGAATGTAATGAAACACCATTTTCTGGGTGAGTCCCGGAGGCTCCCCGGCATCCCTCCCTCCCTCCGGTCGGCGTTTTTTCGCGTTTTTTACATCCAGCCTCAAGAACTGAGGTGTGGGTAGCCGGCGCGGGGGAGCTGCGCAGACAGCGGCGCGGCGGTGTGTGACGTCACACTAGTTTGCTTGTTTTCGGTTGGGGAGTTCTATCCACTAGTTCGGTTTTTGGTAGCAATTTTAACCAGAATAGGGGTTTGTTTTGGGGCGCTTACCTTTCTGGGTGCCTGTTCCGGTCGATGGCAGACATAGAATGCTTCCAACTACACGGGGGCTTCTATAGGCCATTGCTCCCCTTGCCTCTCTGAGGGGGCCCGGTTCTGGCCGTGGTCCCCGGTAGGCCTAAGAACTCCATACACATGACTGATGCCAAAGTCTGACATTAGCATATCAGCCTGGGATAGCTCCGGGGAGCCTCCGGGACTCACCCAGAAAATGGCGTTTCATTACATTCAACGCTGGTTTTTTGACTTGCTGACTTTTTAGATGCCTTTCCCAGTGAGGTGACAAAATATCACTGCTCCTTGCTCCTCTGTGAGTGAGTGGGACACAGAACCTCTGTGAGGTTCTGGTTTTGGTCTCTGGTAGGCCTAAGAACTCCACAGCTGATGTTACCTGGTAGATGGAAACCAACTTATTGTTCTTCCTGTGGCTTCAGGGAGCCACAAGGGGTTCCCCCCCCCCTCCCAGAAAATTAGCTTTAAGGTTTGTGATCCAATTTAGCAAAATCAATTTCGTTATGTTGTCTTGAGCACTGGATTTTAGGTGTTGCTATTCATTTCTATGAATTTATTTTGCATATTATTAATTGTGACTTCATATAGAATGATCCAGTTCAGTTTTCTATTCATTTTCAGGTCCTTCTCGTGGATTGTGGCGGTATAATGATAGTTTGGATTGGCAGTCTGCTCCCTCTTCATGAAAAGTTGCAAAATGTGATGCATCTTAGCAGAGTAGTGTGTCTTGCTGGTTTAGATGCCCCAGGTGGCCAAAGACATTGGCCACAGACATCTTTAGACTACCTGAGAGAACAGCTGACAGTCCACAATAATTTGTACATTCTACATAAAGTACGACTTTTGTGTAATTTATTCTAAATCCCTTTTTAATCATTTGAACAGAAACACTTATTAGTGAGAGGGTAATCTAAATTATGCCTGACTTGCAATGTTTTTTATAAGAAAGATAATACTGAACTCAGTAATATTATTATCATTCTGGCTTTACTTTTTAGCCTTATGCTTTACCACCTAGCCTTATCCTCTACCACCTAGCCTTATCCTTTACCACCTAGCCTTATCCTTTACCACCTAGCCTTATCCTTTACCACCTAGCCTTATCCTTTACCACCTAGCCTTATCCTTTACCACCTAGCCTTATCCTTTACCACCTAGCCTTATCCTTTACCACCTAGCCTTATCCTTTACCACCTAGCCTTATCCTTTACCACCTAGCCTTATCCTCTACCACCTATTTATTTATTTATATACAAGAAGTTACATTGGGGTTAACAGAGAATATAGAAAATAAGTTGAATTAACATTCTTGTAAAGCCACTAGCACGCATAGCGTTTTGGGCAAGTCTTTAAACTAACAGAAAAATTTTTGATGAATTAACAGTAAAATTTATAAAAAATGTTACTGTAGCAGGTATTTTACAGCTTTTCTTTACAGGTACAGATAATTTTAAGTAGAATAATTACAGTAAAATCAACAAAAAATGTTTACAGGTAATTTGAAGAAATTTTGACACATAAGCAGATCAAAATAATACACAATAAAAAAACAAGGATTACTAGGTACATGAGGATAGCATTTCAGGGTTATACATTGGTTCACTGAAGCATAATATGAGGATCATTTTGAGGAAAAGTTTCAAGGAATAATGCCGTAGAAAATGCACTCAATACAACAACCATGATATCAGATGATATCTAAGATTACAATGTTAAAGTAATATGGCTTAAGTACAAATATTGGGGGATTGAGTAGCACTAGATACAGTGTGAAGATAAAGCCCATGGTAGAAAACTATGAAGATGAAATTAGGTACTTTTTATTTTTATTTTTGAATAAGGCAAAAGTTGGACAGCTTTTCAAATCATTAGGGAGTGAGTTCCATAGACTAGGTCCCTTTATTTGCATAGTGTTTACATAGATTAACACTATCGGTCACTTTGAACCAAACTCTCATCCATTATTTTTCTCCCGAGTCCTAACCGAGGACCGGACTTGCGTCCACTACAAAAATATTTGTATAAAATTCATTTTTTATCCAATTGACCTCGGGATAGTATCAAAATAAGTGCCCTTAGAATGCGCACAATTTGATACCAAAATAAAAGATGTAACATGAAACTTGATGTCTGAACACTTATATGATTATAAATAGGTTTTTGGTCAAAATTTTTAAATATTTGTTAAAATTCTATTTATTGTGCTATTATGTTGGGACTAGTTTTAAAATGCTCGCCTTTATGTCGCGAACAATTTGATACCAAAATGAAAGATGTAACACAAAAATTTGTCGGAACACTGGAAAGATATAAATAATATTGTGATGATGAGCTTCCAGAATTAAAATATTTGTTAAAATTCCAGTTATTGCTCTATTATTATGGGATTAGTTTTAAAATACGCGCCTTTTTATTGCGAACAATTTGATACCAAAATGAAAGACGTAACATGAAAATTGATGTAATCAAACTGAACGAGTATATACATTAAGTTGCAGTATACAAATTGGTGCTCGTTCACGGGTAACTTTAGGCTTTTCTGCGGGGAGCCACTCGAGGCTTTTGTACATTATATTCATACACATCTGTAGGGAATTTAAATGCGAACACAATGATACCAAAACGAGCGATGTAGCACGAGAATTAAGGTGAGAAAAATGGAACGAGTATACACATTTTACTGATTTTGTGTGCTCACGGGTAACTTTTGCCGACTTTAGGCTTTGATGTTGGGAGTCACGCCAGGCTTTTTGGACATTATATTTATACACACCTGTAGGGAATTTAATTGCGAACACATTGATACCAAAACGAAAGATGTAGCACCAGAATTAAGGTGAGAAAACTGAAACGAGTATACACATTTAGGTGTCGCCGCACGCTCGCCCGCACCATTGGGGCCATGACGTCAAAGTCTGCGGTGCTCTCGTGGGGTGCGCGATAGTGTTAAGTTTGACTCTGGGGATATCAAAGAGATATTTATGTCTGGTGTGGTGGGCATGTGTTCTATTACATCTGTCCAGGAAGAGTTTCAGAACAGGGTTTGCACTTAGAAAAAGGGTTTTATAAACATAATTTACACAGGAGAGTGTATGGAGTGAGTTTGTTTAGCATGTTTAGGGATTTGAACAAGGGCGCTGTGTGTTGTCTGAAGGCAGAGTTAGTTATTGTCCTGATAGCAGATTTTTGCTGGATGATTATGAACCTAGATGATGGACCTAGCCTTATCCTCAACCACCTAGTCTTATCCTCTGGCATGTAGCTTTAGCCTCTGCCACCTAACCTTATCCTCTGCCATCTATCCTTAACCTCTACTACCTAGCCTTAGCCTCTACCATCTAGCTTTAATCTCTGCCATGTAGCTGTAGCCTCTGCCACCTAACCTTATCCTCCACCACCTAGCCTTATTCAAAATTCAAATTCAAATGTTTATTCAGGTAAAAGTACATACAAAGAAGATGAGTTACAAACATAATGTTGGATTTATAGATATAGCTAGTGCATACAATACCTAAAGCCACTAGTATGCATAGCGTTTCTGGCAAGGTGGGGGGGGGGGGGAAATCCCACATAGACTAAAACTGAATACTAATTAAGATTAAAGTATAAATTGTGTTGAAAGGGGAGGGGGGGGGGTGCAGGGCAGAAATCAGCAATTAAACAAGTTGGTCAACAAACATTATTGTTTGAAAATAGCAAGACATGGGTTGAACATTTTGGGGGTAAGGTAGGTTACATGGAGTTTATTAGGTAGTACTTAGTTTTTTTCTTAAACTGGTTGAGAGGTGTACAGCCTTTGACATGATTGGGAAGGTCATCATCTATGTAGTCTAATCATCTACCATCTAGCCAAATCATCTGCCACCTAACCTTAACCCCCTACCACCTCATATTGTCCTGTCATATAATTCATTGCACATATTTTATTATGAAAAATACTTGTTAATATTTTTCTGTGATCGAAAGCAAGGTTTAATATGTTCAGCGTATAATTTGCAATAAAAATTTTCCATGGATGCTAACACTGTATAGATAGCTCAAATCACACTTTTGATCTTGGATTTAGTTACTTTCTTCAAATTATGAGTTTCGACAGGTATGAAAGTTAGGAAAGTGTGTTATTAATGTATAGTTTTCAAGTACATAAGGTTCTTTGATAAGGTTCTTTACTTTTTCTAGGGCTCTTCTTATTATGACTCCAAACTGGACCTTCAAATAATGCCAGTGGAGATTGGTTGGATGGAAAATATTATTCACGGACCTTTTGAAGCAGGTTCTGTCTATCGTGTATCCCTGAACAAGCTTCTCGTTCAGAATGGCCTGGCACTTCCAGTGAAGTCAGCAAGAGCGAACTCCAGGTAAGTGTTTAGGAATGTGTATCTGTGCATGCAGTTTATTTTTATGTTTAGCCCTTCCATTATAGTACTACCTCAGTTCGGCACACTATATGGGACCAACCCCAGTTCATAGCGGGGGTAGATTCGTTGCAACAGGTGACCTTCAGGAGGTGTTTGTGTCAGTGTCTCTTTTTCTTGTACCCAATAAAAATGCATTATTTTATTATATACTGTACCTATATATTACTACTCTTCTAAAAAATAGTTATAGTTATATTTACCTTATTGTTGGAGTATGTCCAGCTTGAATTTTCTTGAAATTGTGAATACAATACAGTAATTATGTACAGTACTGTATTATGCAGTTAGCACTGTTTAAATTATGTAGTTCTGTAGTATGTTGAGTACTATAATACAGTTTATGAAAACTATTGTACACTAAAATTACTATAATTTAAATTTTACACTTTAACACTATGTACTTAAATTTAACACTTGTTCTAACTGTACATTTCATGCACGATGTTCTAGAGGTTTGCATCAGCTTTGCTGGTGCTCGCTGCTGCTGTGTTACCTTCAGCTGCTTAATGGTTCTCCGGCAATTTTCCTGTTCTTAATATTATGCCTATTATTAAATCTTTCCAACCATTCTTCACTAGCTCAAAAATCTGGAATGTTCATCTTTGAACATCAATCACATCATCATGGATGGATTAGTGGATGACTGGCGGGCAGGGTGGGTGGGTGGGTTTGGGTAGGCACATGGGTGGCTATTTGTGTGGGTGGGCAGCTATTTAGGCAGGGTGGGTGGATTTGGGCAGGCAGATGGACTGCTATTTGGGCGGACAGTGTGGGTGGACGACTATTCGGGTGGAGTCGTAGGATTTGGGTAGGTGGCTATATGGGCAGCTAACACCGAGAAACTAGGTTTATACACCCAACTGGCTGAAATTTAAGCCAGATCCTGTAACAAATTTCTCTTAACTATTGAATTTATATCATATTATATATTTTTGGGTTATATATATTTAGTTTAGCAAGATTTTTAGGATAATAAGAGCTGTGGAAATTGTTATTTAAGAAATCATTTATTAATTTTAATATTTCAAGGCCATAGGTCACTAAACTGTAGCGACAAATTCGAACAAAAAGCACATGGTGCTGTGTGTGTACAGGAAATAGACCAGTCCACCCGCACTCAAGTTATTTTGAAAGCTAGAGCCAATAACATAAATAATTTCTGAAATAGCAAATGTCTATCATATTACAGCATATTTTCTGGGGGGGGGACCCTGTCGGCTCCCTGGAGCTATCCAGGCTGATATTGAAATATTAGACTTTAGCATCATTAGTGGGAAAGGAGTTTATAGGCCTACCGGGGACCACGAGTTCGAGCCTGGCCCCCCCTTAGAGAGGCATGAGGAGCAATGGCCTATAGAAGTCTCGATGTGGTTGGAAGCATTTCGTGTCTGCCATCAACTGGGTCAGGCACCCAGAAAGGTAAGCATTCCAAAACAAACCCCTATTCTGGTTAAGAAATTGCAACTAAAAGCCAAACAAGTGGACACAACTCCCCATGCAAAAATTAGCAAATGAGCATGACGTCACCATGTCGCTGAGACACCGTCTGCGCAGCTCTTCCCCTTCTTGGGAGGGGAAAGGGGAAGCCCCCAGACTCCCCACACCAGCTATCCAGAACCTCAGTACTGAGGCTGATGCACTAGGCGGAAGGCGTGTGCTCTGGCACCAGATTTTGTCTTCAGCTCTGTGCCCTTGTGGTGTGGTGGCTGTCTCATAGGGGGGTGCACGAGCCAGAAGTAATTCTTCAGTACTTAGGCTGCATGTGCCTAGGGGTTACCTTCCCTAGGTGCCCTGTAAGTACTGCCCTTGGGGCACCTTAACCAGATTCCTTGGGTTCTGCCTCTGGTCGTTTGCTGCTCGGCTTTTGGCCGCCCTTGTTGTGCTGGAGTGTTCTGGAGACCATCTCTAGACACATAATTGACTCTGGTCCTTTCCCTGACTGCCTCTCTCCACCAAGTGACCGATAGGGGCTTGCACATGTCACTCCTGCCCGGTTCCAATAATGTCTCAACCCTTTACAGTACATGTTATACACACTTCCCCATAGTTCATTTATATGTCTTATAATGTTCCAGGCTGTTTTTCTACATTTAACATTGTTGTTTCTCTATATTTTCTTGCATTGAATCTGTTAATTAATAATTTAACCAATTATCACTTTTGTTTACCATGGTTTTTAGGAGATTGCATTTTCCTGTTAACATGATGATCTGTGCATCTGCAGCCTTGGGGCTGGGTTTTCAACTGTAACAGTTCCAGACTGTTTTCCAACATTTAACACTGCTTTTTCTCCCTACACAAGGGTCTCTCGCTTACACCCTTCCCAGCCTGCGAGGCCTTTGGGGTCGATGCCTTTCTGCTTGACTGGTCGAGGTGGGGTTACCTGTACCTTTTCCGACCGATTCGGTTGTTGCTCCAGATCCTGGCTCGGTTGGAGATTTACCAGGGAAGAGTAGTCCTGTTGGCTCCTTGGTGGCTGGCCCAGCCCTAGTTTCAGGTGCTTCTTGCTCAATGTCCGAACCCGAGGGTCTTCACACGGCTCTGCCTCTTTCAGCAGATCGGTCCGGTCTGGTACGTGGCTGGTTCGATCTTCTCTGCTCTTCACATCTGGTCTTTTTGACGCGAGTTTATCACCACTTGTATGGTGATCAGGTGGCTTAGTTAGTGGTGTCCTACCTGCAAGTTTCGTCTCGACGACAGTAAGAAATTTCCTGGAGGTCGTTTCGGCACTTTGTCTCTTCGTAGGTTGTCTTCAGTTTCTTGTCGTGTTGTTTTGTCCTTTCTCTCTTGGTTGTTTCATGACCGTCATCTTAGGCCTAATACTGTCGCCTCGTTTCAGGCAGTGCTGGCAGAGCCACTGCAGCTTGCATTTGGGGTGAATGTCACTCCTGCTCCGTTCCGCAAGCTTTCTCGGGCGTTGTTTCACCTCCGGCCTACTCATGCACCGCCTGAGCCGTCCTGGTCTTTGGACCAGATGCTCTCCTTTTTCTCTCATCTCTTCGGTATATGGTGGCCCCCTAAGTTCAGGACTATTTTACTACGGCTTTTTACTTGTTGGCATTGGCCTCTACGGGTCTGATTGGAGAGCTTCATGCTCTCCTCTTGCGCAGGGGTTTCTACTTTATCAGTCCTGGTGCTCGTTTCTTCATTTGCAGCCGTCTCCTGTTCCGGCGAAGAATGAGTCTGCTGCTTTCCAAAAAGGTCCTTGTGTTGTTGATACTTGTTTGATTTGGCCGGGGTGCATCATGTTTTGTGTCCGTTTGTAGCTCTTCACTGTTACTTGCGCGCCAGACCCTCTGTGGCAGAGGACGCGCTTTGAGTTGACCCAGTTTCCCTTTTTCCCCTATTCCAGGGCTTTCCCCTATTCCAACCAGGGTCTCCCAGGTTGTCTGCTCCCCGACATCCTTGCCTCTCTCCGGTTGCTGGTTTTTCGCATTTTTGGTACTCGGCCTTTGAACTGAGAAGAGTTGCCGGCATGGAGGTCGGGGAAACCTCCGGTCCCCCTCCCTGGGAGAAGGGGGGGGGGTTGCGCAGAGAGATGCATGACGGTTGTTGTAACATGTTTGTTTCCTTGTTTTTGATTGAGGAGTTCTGTTTGCTAGTTCGGCTTTCAGTTTGCAATTTTTGACCAGCAATAGTTTGTTTTGGAATTCCTACCTTTCTGGGTGCCTGACCTGGTAGATGGCAGACAAAGATTGCTTCCAATTACACGGGGGGTGTCTTTAGGCCATTGCTCCTTGTGCCTCTCTTAAGGGGGCCAGGTTCTGGCTCTGGTCCCCGGTAGGCTTAGAACTCCTTCAAGTGACTGTTGCCATGGTCTAATATATATACACATCAGCTTGGTATAGTTCCAGGGAGCCCCCAGGTCTTGCCCAGAAAATGGCTTTACATTACATTACATTCATCGCTAGTTTTTTGGGAAGTTCTTATGATATTTTGAGGGCATTGGTTTAATTTTTCAACCATGTGGTAGTCTGTTTGGATTCCCCTAATTTTCTTGGTGCTTCACTGTTGATGGCAAGATGATAAACTTTGCAGTTAAAGTGCCAGACTCCAAGTAGTGTGGCACTTAATCAGTAAGCTAGCTTCAGGGAGCTTCCGGAGGTCACCCAGAAACTGACGTGTCATTACATTCGATGTTGGATTTTTACCATGTCTTGTAATTAAATTCGGGTACATTTGGTTGAGAGCCAGCTGTGCTATAGCTGAATTATGGGTCACCCCCCATATACCATTCATCCTATTGAATCTTTAAGTAAAGTAAAGTAAATTTATTCATTAAAGTACAAACATAATTGATTTACAAACATAATGTTGGATTTATAGACAGAGCTAGTGCATACAATACCTAAAGCCACTAGTACGCATAGCGTTTCGGGCAAGGTGAGGTGGGGAAAAAAACACTTAGACTAAAACTTAATAGTAATTGAGCTTAAAGTATAAATTGCGTTGAAAATAAATAAAAAAATAAAAGATAAATAAGGGGGGAACATCGTAGAAAATAGCCAATATACAAGTTGGTCAACAAACAACATTGTCTTAAAAATAGTAAGACACAGGTTGACATTTAGGGGTAAGGTAGGTTACATGGAGTTAATTAGGTAGTACTTAGTTTTCATCTTAAACTGGTTGAGAGAGATACAGCCTTTGACATGATTGGGAAGGTCATTCCACATTCTGGGTCCCTTGGTTTGTAGAGCATTTCTAGTTTGATTAAGTCATACTCTTGGAATATCAAATAGGTATTTGTTTCTGGTGTGGTGCCCACGGGTTCTGTTACAACCTTCTAAGAAGCTTTTAAGGTCAAGATTGACATTACAATTCAGAGTTTTAAATATATAGAGTACACATGAGAGGATGTGCAGTGACTTAATATCTAACATATTCAGAGATTTGAGTAAGAGTACCGAGTGCTGTCTGGGGCCAGAGTTGGATATTGT